ATGATCTTTCTAGAGTTGATACTGTTGATGCTCGAGAAGCTCGTCAAGAATTCTCTAAATTTGATCAAGGTCCTCTTGAAGATTTCCCAGCATTTGTCCCAACAGCCGAATCCGATACGCCAAGAGCAAGTGAAGATTCTGGATCACCATCAAACAATGCTCAAAGTCAATATGAGGAAACCAATGAAGAACCTCAAGAAGAGCCACTTACACAACAAATTTCCCCTCAAGATAAATGGGCACAAATCCGTAAGAATGTTGCCGAACAAAAAGCTAGGAATAGAGAACTCGAAGAACAAGCTAGAATTGGACATCGTCCATCTACTGATAATGATGATGAGACTTCAGGTGAAGAGAGTGAGTATTCCCCTCCTTCTAAAGCTTCTTCATGGGGTGATATACTAATGGATCCAGCAATTGAATCTCGTGTTGCACGTATTAAAGCTCGTGTAGCTGAACTTACGGGTAATATGGAAAACAATAACTCATCTGCTCCTCCACCTATTCGAAGAAAAGCTCTATAGATTCTTTTACATCAATGTCGATACCAATACATCTATGCCGAAACCAGTCCCGATACCGATACCGAAATATACTCTTGTCATAACTCGCCTACGATCAAAATATTACTCGTAAATTGATGCCTCGCAATTTCAATCGTCCTGGCATCTATTTACATATGTTGCGAAGACTCCTATACATTCATATTCTATTGTCCAATAATTTACACACTCACACACACAGACGCAATTAAAGTTTTTTTCTCGATATTCCATTTAGATCAGATCTTGATTATTGCGGCGCATATAATACGACCCGATCGACTTTGTTCGATTTCTCGGACTTTTCTTTTTTTTTGTTGTTTATTCGCGGTTTCTTTCTTCTACATTTTTTCTTTTTTTTGAGATACCATTCATGATTTCTGTTCTGAATTTGCGCATTTTTGCGAGTTGTCAAGTGAGGGGATAGGACTAGGGGGAGGGGATAAAAGACTGAGAGATAGAAGTAAGGCGGATAAGGGAAGGGGAAAGATTGCTTGTGATCTGGATCTGGATCTGGATCTAGATTTGTAAAGGTGTGGGGGGGAATTGGCAGTTGTGGATATGATTCTATATATTTGATTGTCGGTTTTTGAGAAAGTGGATAATGAGAAGGTAGATAGAGGAGTGTTTGTGGGGTAGGATGTTAAAATAAGAGAAGAGAAGAGGAGTGAGGAGAAAATGGGAGAGGATGATGTTTAGATACCAGTAATTGAGAATGAGATTTGAGATGCAGTTAAATTTGCAGATAGTGTTTGAGAGTGTTTGAGTAGGAAATGAGAATGAGAATACATATATGATTGAGAAAATATATTTGATTGAGTTGGGATATTTGAGTTGAGATATGTTGAGTTTTGAGGTATGATTGAGGGTCCGAGATATGATGAGTCTTGAGATATTTGATTATTTTTTGGATGTGGTATATGGATAGGTAGGTATGTGTGTGATTTTGAGAGAACAGAGTAAAGTGTGTGGAGAAGGTTCAAGTGAATGGGAGTCAAATTGAGGCGAACAGGATTCAAATTGAGACGAATAGGAAGAAGTGAAATGGAAAGAACATCAAGTGAAAATGAATGTGCATTTTGGTATGGATGTGAAATGAAAATTTGGGGTGAGGGGGGGGGGGTAAAGGGGGAAGGGGGAAGGGGTGAGAGGGGGAGAGGGGGGATAGAGAGGGAAGAGAGGAGAAAGAGGAAGAGGAGGAAAGTGGTAGGTGGATGGAGGGAGGGGATGGAATAAAATTTAAATAAATAAAATAGAATAGGATAGAATAGGATAGAATAGGATAGAATGAACGGAGAATATATATTTAATAGATTAGATTAATATTACAATTACAATTATCGTTTTATACATATTGGAGTGTGATGAAATGGGTATATTTATTAATAAGATAGAGAATTGAAAGGTAATGAATGTGTTGTATATAGAAGATGAGAGGTGGGAAGTGGGTGGAGATTAGATTGAAGAAGGAGGAAGGAGGGAAAGAAAGAGAGGAGAGTAGGAAAGAGAGGAGAGAGGAAGAGAGGGAGAGTAGGAAGGAAGGAGAGTAGAAAAGATATAAGAGAGGGAGAGTAGGGAGGATATAAGAGAGAGAAGGAAAGAAAGTAAATAAGGAAATTGAGGGGAATAAATAGGATGGGATGGGATGGGGTGGGTTGGGATTAGAGGGGGTTATTGTAAATGTAAGTCTTTTTAGATAGGTATGTATGTATTGATGAGTTGGTGTGGTTATTGGTTAGTTTTAAGTTTGACCTTGGAGGTGGAGATGTCCACTGGTGTGGTTTGTGGGTAGGTATGCTGTACTGTGGCTGTGATAAGTAAGGGTGGATGGATGGATGGGATGATGGGTGGTTGTTTAGGAGGGAGGGCTTAGGTGTTAATGAATGATGGTTTGTATATATAATGCGTGATGCAAGTTGGAAGTTGGAAGAGAAAAGAGAAAGAGGTGGAGATGTTTTAGATGGAGACGAAGGAGGCGAAGCGAAGTGATGAGAGGTAGTGGAACTTGGTAGGAGTAGGTAGGTATATATAGTATCTAGCTAGATGTTTATCTACTTGGTCATTGTGATTACACCTAGCTGGAGCGTTCTCCGTTTTGGGATCGGGATTCGATATGTGATGTGATGTGATTTGATGTTGGGGAATATTAGTGTATGTTAATGAGAGGATGTATATTTTGATTATTAAAAGTCTAAAAGTTCTGTTGTATATCTGATTTATTATTTATTAACTGTTTTTAGGTTGATTTAAAAGGGAGAAATTATTTGAGTTTCAGAGTTGGGAAAAATGGAGACTGAATGGATTTGGGGGGGGGGGGCCTTGTAGGGGGCTTTCTTGGACTCCTTTTTAACTGGTATTTAAGTTCTGTGTGGTGGATTGAGACGTGGGATAGAAGTTTCTTTGGGAGTTTTAGATTTCTAGTTGTACTATTTGTGCTTTGGGATTCTTGTAGGAATGAAGAGGGAGATAGGGAAGGTGGAAAGAGAAATAGAGGATGAGAAGAGAAGAGGAGAGAAAGGGGGAAATTTATTGACTTATTTATATAAGCGATTTTGAACATCTTCAAGCTAGATATGTGAGTTTTATGTTGCGTTGATGATAATATCTAGGTACTTAGGTAGTGTTATCTGATATGCATCTCTGCATATAGGTGAAGGATTTTGAAAAGAGAGTAAATGTTCGAGGTTGTGTGAAATGGAGTGGCTTTTGTGTGTGAATCTGGATGTTTGTAAATGTAGAGAGGGAAGTTTTGGTTGTTTAGTAGCTATACCTAGTGTAGAGAGGGGTTTCGGGGATGGCGTTTGAGGGGTTGTCACTGTGCTGGTGTTGATTTGTATGGTTTGGTGGTGAGAATGAGTGGCTTGTAGCGGTGGAAATAGTGTTTTATGGGGTGGTGTATATGCTGTTATGACTCGGGAATGATAGTATCTATTCACAAGGGAAGAATATTTAGAATGAGGTAGTTGCGTTGAGTTGGTGATGTAATGCTGGAGATTGATAATTTGATTTCATTTCTCTTAATATTTTGAGATATTTTTCTTGGATTTTGAGAGTACCTGATTTCTGCACCTCCTCCAGTGCTCGCAATGGGTAGATTTGATACTTTTGTTTGAAAGCCCCGGTCAAACTGGCCTATGGTTTATAAAAATCCAGCCGTATCACCCTCTCTCATCCATTGCGGGCACTGATCTGATCTGATGTAAGAGTTCTGGAACCTACTTAACCTTACCGCACATGTAACGTTTTCCGGCTAATAATCATTCGAAGTTTTATACCCTGGTTTATTGATTACAATATATAATGAAACTGAAAACTATATTAAATTTTGATTAAGAATCTCTTAAATTATTCAAAAAAATATGTGATTTATTTTTAAATATTTTTATAATAGTATTTTTGAGAAATTAAAATTGGAAATTCGAAATTTTTTCAAAAATTCGTTTATTTTGTATGGAAAAAGTATTATAAGTTAAAAATTCTGAACTTTTTCAATAAAAAACTTATATAACTTTTCAATAAAAATATTTAAAATAAAATTAGAAGTTCTTATATACAAATAATGATTCATATTATTTATTATAAAGTTTTCATAATTTAATATTAATAATTGTATCAATTATATAATATTTTAGTTTATCTAGAAAAACATAAATTTTGCAGGGATTATGTCACAAAACATCACGGTGTACGGTAAGTGCATTCGATAACTCTTAATTTTGTCCAAAAGAAATGTATTTAGGGAGGGAAAATGAGCAATTGTGTTGATCAAACGGGTAGAGTAAGAGCATAAAAAAAGGGAAGGAATGCACTTGCATTCAGGCAAGGTAATAGCGACGATTTAGCAAACTCGTGAATTTCAAGAATAACATCAAAGAAATGTTCTTAAATCGACTAAACAAGACGGGCATTATCCCCACTCGGTGATCATGAAATGCATTCGCGATTTGATGAATCTTCTGCGTGTCTTTCGAAATAGACTTGGATAAATTGGGGTATGTATCAAGTGTTATTTACAAGTAGTGAGAGCAAAACGCAGCTTTTGATTATGGGAGAAAGCGGATATATTGTTTGCATGCGTATTGGCAAATTCGATGATTGTGAATGCTGTTGAGAGTCGCATTATCATTGATATATCGGTCGTGTGGTGGTAACTTTTGCATTCCTAGAGAGATGTTAGGAAGAGGATGAGTACCGAGTAAGCGAAAGTGGCTGCCTTCTCGGGGAGTTTTGATTGGTCATCAAAGAGCGCATCCAATCAATAGAGAAAATCGACAAAACACCAATGGTGCGTGAACACGACATTGAATGGTCTTTTGGTTACAAAATGTAGTACACAGCCTCGGCGTACGTATACCATACACATAAGAAGACTTTATGTCTCGTCGCACCAAGAACAGATTACATTTAACATTTAGATAAATCGCGAGTACTTTCCATTTCACTCTGACCATTGCTAATATGTCTATATCGTCGACTTCTGGATCTCTACATTTACATCTCCCACCTTGTAAAAAGGAACTTCCATCGCTTTCTCCAATCTGTTCAAGTTGTCAGGAATTCCTGGATTCTTACAACTTTCAACAAACTAATAGTTTAATTTCTGCCGAGATTTTTTCTGAGCTACCAACTCCTCCTTTGGTGGAAAATTGCTTTTTATGTTTACAGCTCTTGGGTTCATGCCTGGTTGAAACTGCAGATCAAGCCAATTATATCAATGCTCTGGGACTCAGTCCTCAACCTGTTTTGAATAATTCATCTCAGTATATGGTATTGTCTCATGACTTGCATCGACATACCATTACGAGAGTGTTTTTCTCTGGCTGGCTTCCCACTGAAGAGGAAGGTGAAAAAACGAGCAGTATATCTCGAGACCTCGCGGTATACTCGCGAAAACGTGGGTGACAAACAGATGACTATGGAATATTTTTAAATGCTGACAAGACTTCTCTCAGAACTCGCTGGCTTAGAGAGTTTTGTCTCAGTAGCTTCTTCCACAGGCTCTGATGAGAGTTTGAATCTTTCCAAACAATGGTTACAAAACTGCAATGAAAGCAATATTTCCTGCTTACGCAAAGCTACCACGTACCCACGTTTTCTTCCTACTCGTCTCATTGATATCAGAATGGAAGAGTCAGCGATCACTCCACGGCTTTGTTTAAGAAAAGACGTTCCATTAAATTCAGTCTACTTCACTTTAAGTCATTGTTGGGGGAAGACTATGCCAAAAATTACTCTTCTTCAGTCAAACATCGAGTTTATGCTTCGCGAGATAAACTTTTCACAACTTTCAAATGCCTTCCAAGACGCATTATGGGTAGTACGGAAATTAGGAGGACGATATATCTGGATTGATTCATTATGCATCGTTCAAGATTCCGAGACTGATTGGTTAGTAGAATCCGCCAGTATGTGTGATGTCTACTCGAATAGTTACTGCAATATCTGTGCGACAGCTGCGAGGGATGGTAGTGAAAGGATGTTGCGTGATAGAGAGCCATTACAGGTACAGCAAGGTTGGTTTAAAACAGCTTGCGATGAGGAAGATTACTGTGTCATTGACGAAAATGAATGGGAAAATGAGGTGGAAAATGGCATTTTATCCTCTAGGGCTTGGGTCTGCCAAGAACGCCTATTGTCTAGACGAAATCTTCACTTTGGCTCTAGACAATTATTTTGGGAGTGTCTAGATCATGAGGCTTCTGAAACATTTCCTAAAGGAACTCCACAAGTCATTAGAAGCTCCGGTGTGAAACCACAGCTCAAGGTACTTGTTAATGGCATCGACAAACATCAATCAAACATAACTTTCGAAGGTGGAAAAATCTGGGAAAATATCGTAAAATTGTATATGAAAAGTAACCTAACTTTCAAAACGGACAGACTTGTTGCAATCGGGGGAATGGCAAACGCAGCAGCTCAACATATAGGGGAAAATTACTTAGCGGGAGTATGGGAAAAACACCTGATATATGGTATACTTTGGAATGCTCGACAATACCCATCCAATCTTTCCAAATTCACCGGAGCTCCCCTAGAGAAGCATGAATATACCGCCCCCAGCTGGTCTTGGGCCTCTTTTAATGCAAGAATAGAATTTCCTCCAAGAATCCATAGAAGTGTAGGTATTGAGCAATTTTCTCAGATCTTGGAAACACACCTGGATCTAGCAATCGATAGCCCATATGGGAAAGTATGCGGTGGATATATCAAGCTCAAGGGAGATGTCACTTCCGCTACTTGTCGCGCAGGATTTTCCGGATTGCCATATAATAGCAATTTTGAGATCTTCTTCAGACGAGATGGTACAGAATTGGAAAGTCTTCGGTCGACAATCACCTATAGTGACTTTGAAGACATGACTGAAATTGACCGCCAGGAAGTGTATCTTCTTCCTGTCTGTAAGTTCCCTTTGTGGCGTGATGAATGGCAGGCTAGGGGTCTCGTACTATTTCCGACTAACAGAGCGAGATGGGAGTTCCGAAGGTGTGGTATGTTTATCTATAATATTGATGAGGACCACGAGGCTGTGATGTCTAAATGCAAATCTTTCAGCCGCGAGCAGGAAATTGAATCGCCCGAATTTGGTCTACAAGATGACGGACAATTTATTATCAAGATCTTTTGATAACCGGGGTGGTTTTGGCATACGTATTTAAGTTCAATTAGTTTATGATGCGGCAAGTCATTGTTAAAATAACTGTGCTTTATTCAGTATTGCTTGAAACCTTGTGAAAAAATTGGCGCGTGAATAATAGACTTGGGTACCGAGACTCAGATCCGTTTCGCCAAATTTCATATTCTAGTCTGCTGTTTGAAATGGAAGGAACGCAACAAGAGCATAATTATCTATGAATACTCATTACCTTTAGCTTTCGTATATCATGTTTACTATAATAAGCCGCTGGAGCTGATCATCAATTAGCCTGTGAAATGTTAGCATGCAAAAAGTCAGTTTAGGTATCATACACATTCAATCTACTCGATTTACGATTTCGCAACTCCAGAAGAAGTTTTATATCACTCGCTATCTTTCTTTGCTAGTTCCGACTCTTATAGAACGAAGGGTTGAGTCTCTGTAATGTTCGCCTGGTTTTCTAAACTATATTCCTGGGATCTCAATCAGTTATCTTGTATACAATAGCATGATTTGTTTTGTCATCTTTGTTTTCTCTTTGCTGTACTAACTATAGGTAGGTACCTATTTGGTGCTATTCTTGACTACTCGCTCGTCTATATATAACCGAGGATCTAGGTTTTGATCTACGTGGGTTAGGTTCGAATTTTTCGGTTAAGAGATAATTAATGATAGATCGTTTGATGCTTGATGTTTGCGCTTGCATTTGGTTCCGAAATGGTTTGTTTGCACTTTGCATTTGGTATATATTTTTGGGAGTAGGAGTTATAGTATATAATGTAAACAAAACTGGCGAGTTGTAGACTCGCTAATCTTGTTATAGATAATGGAAGATCGAATATCATGTCAGTCTGAGGGATCAGTTGGAGATAGGTAGGAAAATTAGAGAGGCTGAGAGAGGGGTATGCTAGAAGATATGAGTTGGGATTGAGGTGAAGAGTAGCTGGTCTACTGAGGGTGGAGTCGAAGGAAGTATTGATGGACATTTACGTAATGAAATGGGCTAGGATAATATTCTTCATTAAAACTATAATTGAGTTTTGTCAGATCTAAACATTGAAGGGGATAAATATATGAGGTCTTGCTATATTAACTCAATATTAAAAGTAATGATGAGCCGCGAGGAGATAATGATCTATCTTTGGAAATATAAAGAAAAAGTATACTGGTGAGAAAGTGTACACATAGCATCTTACTATCAATTCTTTTGGTTATATTCACCTAAAAAGCAATAGTCAAGAGCCACATGTACAACAATAGATCAAAGAACCCTACTGGAGGGCAATGATTATTCTTTGTTCACTATACACTTAGGGTCTTAGATTGGGCACTCCATTAGCCCCATAGAACAGTATATATATTTTTGGTAAGGTTGAGATATATTTTTTCTCTTGTAGGGCACGAAAGCAGATGCTTTACAGTCGAGAAGGAAGAAAAAGATTATGCGATTTTACGCCATATATTCAAACCTGCAAAGGAATCAGGGAGCATGAGAACTATCTCAATTTCGACGCGGAAAGAATACATCATATCATTGCTATCAGTAGATATTTCTGTATTCGTTAGCGAGTGACAGTAAAGAGTTTATCAAAACATTAATTGAAATTCAGATAAAATGACCCACCGAACACCACTTTTAGTCCAAACTTGCCTCAGAAGCTCGTGAGTGGAAGGATAGCATGTCAACCCGTCAAATAAACATGTTTGCTGCTTCTGAATTGTCTTGTGAAATTATGAGGATTCAAGAGGGAATAGGAAGGGGTTTTTATATTTGTGGTCTTTGAAGCAATCATGGGGATGTTGGTTGATAGGGATTTGAATTGCTGTCCGCATTAATATTCACGGGACCCAACAGAACCCGTAGTGAGTTAGGGGTTTCCAGGAAAATACGCTTAGGGTATATAAATATCATGAATAGTTTTACTTGGTGATGCAGACACTCAGAAAAGAACAACTCACTTTGCAAGAATTAGGGTCGGGATGACTAGAGAGCGGATATGATATTGTAATTGCATTTGATATGAGTCGATGGAAGTTCAAAGTTCAATTGGAACTGTTGAATTGAAGCGATGATAGGGAGTAAATCTTGACGGTGAAAAATTCGACAGCGAATATTATGCATGATGTTCAAAATTCAGCGAGGATTAAATTTGACCGAAAGAAACAGTTTCACGTTTTTGTATCCGGAGGTTTTCCTTCTATGTGTATCTTTAGTGGTCCTGGAACTGGTCGTTGAGATCAAGTCGCAGGTAGCCATTATCATCAAGAATAGGGGAGAAATGTGCACTATGTTGATAGAAGAAGAATTTGATGCAAGTATTTATATTATTTTGGCCTTCGTTTTGTTTGAATTTGCCGGATACTTAGAAATGAAGTGTGGTAAACTAAGAAAGCTTGAACAGAAGATTATGTAGAAATTCTCACCAGTTTGAAAATGTAGACTATTAGAAAAGTATGGTATTTTCAAAGGTTATGGGAATTTGTCTGTATTGAATTCTCTGGGCTCGTGAGAAATTAGGTCTCCAGTGGTATTTGGGAGTATAAGAATCATTAAGAGCTGATTTATTTGGAATTGAAAGTAGTGTTGAAAAATGAGTATAATGTTTGAGGCTTGATTGATTGATTGATTGATTTCATTTACGTCCACCTTCAGTCTAAGACTATATAGAACGGCTAGGCCTCTAGAGGCTCTAGCAGATAACTTTTTATTCTACAAAAATGGATATATATGATTTAGGGAAGTAAAAACAAATACTGGGGAACAGTGCCTACTTATTATATGTATTATATATAATAAGAAAAATTGTGAAAATCAAGAAATTATAAGGAAATCAAAGCCCTTTCTTATTTCCCTAATTACTTCTTCTTCATTCTCTTCTCCTCTCTCCTCTTCTACTACTATTCCTTCCTCTATCTCGTCTTGTATGAGAGCCCTGGCCAGATGCCATACTCTTGTAGCGATTTTAATGATATTGATGAATTTAATAGCTAATTCAATACCTACTTTTGTATAAAATAGGAATTGTATAATAATCTTAAATAATGGTATATTCTTGAATATTTCTTTTCTCTCTACTTTATATATAGAACAACTAATAAGGAAATATTATAGAACCTCAATATTATTATATATATATTTATTATTAGAAAATTTGAATCGATATAAATAAGATTTGATATATCCATAATCTAATTTGAGTTGAAAATATATACTAGTAATGTTTCGCTTGGTTTTGCTTGATAGCTTAATCTTCGATTCTATCTTCTATGGAAATAGTTTTGAATAGATCAAAGAGGATTGATTTGATCTGAATTTGTATTGATTGAGAATAGAAAGTCATTGATCTGAATCGTACTCTTTAATCATTATATCTAGAAGTCCAAAACTTGTTTCGTTTGAGATAGAACATATTGTGGTTGCCTTCTTTATTAGTTTATCTGTTAGCTTATTTCCTTCTACTAAAGTATGTCCTGAAACCCAATTTAGAGATACTTCAGCTCCTTTTGCTTTGACAGAAATGAATTATATTATAACTACTTTCTAGAATATATTATAATACAAAGTAGGTTCGCTACACCTACAGACGCTTTCCCGGTTCACTTGTGATAAAGCCACTAGTACTAGGCTTCTGTAGAATCTTTTGATTACATTAAACCACCTATTGTATGATTACCTTCGGAAGTTCCGGTTAGAATCAAAACCATTCCTTTACACCTCCATTCCTGTTTACTCCTTAAGCCTATCTGATATCTCCATTATACTCTCTGCTCTATAGTATTCGATTATAGACTGATACACGTATCCGTCCTCTCGAGCCATATAAACAATATCGCTGTCGCTGTCATTATATGTTATGCCTTACAGCTAGTAACCATTTCGCATTACCTTATCAGATCTCTCCTACACAACAAGGCCAACTATATCTCGCAGGCTTGCTATTTCAGACCCTTAGTCAGGCAGCTTTTCTATAGTGTTTCCAATCTATTAATTAAAGCTCTATTTGTAAAATCCATTCCTCCAATATATAGTTTATAATCGAAAGTAGAACACTAGGAGCACATTGTATATGTATATTGTAGGATTAGCCTCTATCTGAAATCCTCTGTCACTATAATACCGATCGAGTATTGTCGAGTATAGCTTGCTAAAAGCGTTTTTCCTATATCGGAGCTTCTCCGCTGTCATGCTATTCTTGTATATTCAAAGATAAGATACTAAAAACATCCCTCCTTCTATTCTATATATACTCCCGCCGATTCTAGTAGATATTATTCTAACCTTTGTATACTTCCTACTACTCCTCTTACCATTTGTAAATATCCGATCCGGTATACCTGCAGATCGTATATATTGTTGGGTTATGAAAACTCTGTATACTAGCACTCCAAAGGTATTCTATTGATTTTCGTTTGTCAAGTTAAGGATATCAGCCTTACTTTCAATATAGGCTTCAATTAGATTCAGCTATATTATAGAAATTTCATTATTTATTATTTCAAGGGTTAATTTCGCTTCGCAAATGCTTTACTATAATATACTCTAGCTTTGCTTTCTATACAGATTTGTAAAGGTATAGTTCCGTATCAATCCTATTCTCATCTCCTTTTCACCATCAAATAATTTTCATCTTCATTTTGCTAGTAGTCCTTTATTCCAAGCATTTTTGTAATTACTCTTTGATGATCAGCTACACATACCTTCACTTCCAGTATGGCCTCCGATTAGTGTACAACCATCACCCGGCTCCAACTGACTCTACTTAGCTCTCCGATCGCACGATCGAAGGTTTGTAGGATACACCATGTACAGGTGAGAGTTATCGTATCCCATAATGTTTGAGGTCTGTCTAAGGAAATGAAGTGTTTATTACAATTTAGACTTTGCGTTGAACTCTTATATTGTTTCTTAACCAGATGCCAGTAGAAATAACATATCATAGGAGGTAAGTGTATACTAAAATGCATAGTGCAACAATAAAAAGAAAGTTTTGGCAATATTCTCATCTTCAAAATACTTCATAGAGTTTTGACAATAATAATCTGTAAATGATAAGAAATAATAATCAAATATCCTGCATGCGAACTCTGT